TAGAGAATTTACAAAAATTCTTTAATGGTATGAAGGTTAAAAAACACCAGCCTGTTCTAATGAATTCCCATCTTTCTGCTCAAGAACTTTTATGACATCTGATTCAACACTTTACTAAACTTTCCTTAAAAATAATTTTTTTTTTAACTCTTAGCTCAGGCCCTCAGAATAAATCCTTTATTTTTACAAGGTGTTGACGTAGGAAACGTCCAAACCCATAGAGAATTTTTATAAGAGTTTATTTGAGTTTATTTGAGCCAAATTGAGGATATGCCAGGAAGCAAGATTTCAAATGCTCTGGCAAATGACAGTTCTGCAGTTCTTTTTATAGTTTAAGGAGGGAAGTAAGGAAGATTACATGAAGGTGAGAGAAAGAAAAAGGGGGTGGTGGGGGAAGGAGATTCTCTATGATTGGATTATAGGGTAGTTAACAAGATTATGTGCTCTCTTGATGGTGGTCTTCTGAGGGGTCTGAAAAAGAAACATTTCAAAGAGATATTAACTTAGATGTACAAAAACAATGGAGAGGGCTTGCTTAAGGCAAAGATAACCTTTTACTAAGAAAGTTATAGGCCTGAGGCGTGACTACCCACTATGACCCGCCCAGTTAGGAATTTCTGATTGGATCACCCTGTGAGGTTACTTTCGATCACTGCTTTATGACAGCACCCACTTTTTGTTCACAGAGGAGTGCTTTAACTCTGTGTGTATTCTTTCTTTCTTTTTTCCTTTAGCTGCATTTATCTCACCCTACTTGCCAAATAATATACAACCCTAACTCCCACTGAAATGGCTTCTTATTTTAAGGAAACATCTACCAATGTGTCAGGCACAACTCAGGCTTTCTACAAAGACGGTTCTCTGAGACCCACTCATTTAAAGTTTAGAATATGAAATAGGGTATCGCAAAGGGTATCTGTCTGTACTGTTGTAATTTAACTCTTTAATTGATTTTGATGGTAATTAAGTAATCGAGAAAAATCATCTTAGAAATTAGTGGAAAAAGCAGCTTAGGCTGTTTTTTTTAAAGTTATGATTTTTGGATAATTATTCCATCTTTGATTATGATTCAAAAGAATAAAATATTACTTTAATGTAGACTATTTGGTGGTTATTTGCATGCTTCTTGGCTACTATATTTTATTTTTATTTAAATTTCAGGTTTTCTAACCCTTCAAAGGAGCAGTTGACTCTGATTATGAATTAAGTTTTAGAGAATCTTAATTATAATTCATCACATATTTGGTTTTCATTTGGTGTTTTTAAAAAGGACCTCTATGTTTACTTTCTAGACTGATTTTGCACGATTCAGTGGAACAAATGTGGAAACTGACTTTGTAGAGGTGCCATCACAAATGCTTGAAAATTGGGTGTGGGACATTGATTCCCTCCGAAGACTATCAAAACATTATAAAGATGGAAGACCTATTATGGATGATCTGCTTGAAAAACTTGTTGCTTCTAGACTGGTCAACACAGGTATGTCTTGTAATTTTAGAAAAGGAAAATAAATTAGAACTACTTAATAGAGAATTATGGGCATCTTCTTCTATAGAACTGTTTCCTCTTTAACGATGATAGTACCCCAAAAGTGCTAACATAAGAAGACCGCTAAATATTTAGAATACCGAACCCTGGGATTATGTCCAAGAAAAAAATACAACTCCTTTTAAATCTTAAAGGAGATGTCTTGTTCCCATTTTGTAATGAGTACTACAGGGCTCAATTTTGAAATCTATGATCTTGTGATATCAGAACACACAGTTCTCTTCTACAAGACATGCTCAAACATTCTTATGTTATTAGGTCTTCTGACTTTACGCCAGATTGTTTTGAGCAAAGTTGATCAGTCTCTCCATACCAACACATCACTGGATGCTGCAAGTGAATATGCCAAATATTGCACAGAAATTTTAGGCGTTGAAGCTACTCCAGGTATGTAAATACTGTGACTTGAGTTCATTTTTCCTATGAAGCACGGGGTATACTCACACTGCCAGGGAAGGTAAGAGTTTGTCAGGCAGATTACCTAATGAATTTTGTTTCTGATTTGTGTAATCAGGCCATGACTTTCAGATAAGTGTAGTCTGTCCATATGAGTTATCCTGTCCAAATGTGCTTGAAGGAAAGGTGGCTCCAGCTTTGCAGCATTTTAGTGTAATCAGGCGTGAGCAATTGGCCTCCACCCCAGAGGAGAGAAAGCCATTTGCATTTGGCAGCGCCTGCCTGGCTCCTCCCTCCCTATATGCACCACAACTTGCCAATGATTTCAGTAAGAAATTGGCAGAAGGGGCAATTTTAGAGAGACGCACAAACTTCTGCCTTGTTTCTGATTCTGATTCCGAGATCTATTAAGGCATTTTGACTTAGCAGTTTCTAACCTGATGGTTATGAGATGTGGGTGTGTGGATAGCTTCACACACATGTGTGTTTACATTTATATTTATATATTTGAAGCCAGCATGTCATTGTAAGTACGTGTAGTTGGTAAGGTGACTTTTTTTTTCACCGAAGTTGTTATTTAAAAAAATCAGTCACATTTATAGACAGTAAATGTCAGAATTGTCAATGGAGTCCATGTAGGCTCTTCACTTCCTTGTGTGATCTGTTTCTAGTAGACCCTACAGCAACTTTATCCTAGGCCCACTTTGACAAAATCCTTTGTAAAATAGCCCTAGAGGTAGATCGAATCGGTAAACCTTCTCTTTTCAAGTCAAGAGTTCTTTTTAAGTAATTATAAACATAAAATAAGTGCCATTCTGACACATTTAGATAGAGATGTGTGACAAAGAATAGGCTTAATAGTAGAGTATTTGTAAGGCACATATGTCTAAAGGAGAAGAAAGGACTGAGGGAGTCTGAAACACTGAAGTATCTGATGGGTGTGGACAAAGCCTCTGAAGCTGTTAGGCATTCCGGAACTCAGGGCCGAAACCAGCTCTGAGGTTGAGCCATCACCAGAGAGAAGTTTGTAAACATTCTGACCAAGGGCACATGGAAGCCCAGCGTGTAGTACAGGTGAAATCCTATTACCCCTCCCACAACAGGACTCCCCATGAGGAAACCTTAACTAGCTGATAATCTGGTAATTAACTTTTGCCATCCCATTGATTGACATGTATCTTTCTTTAAAGGCACAAATATGCCGGCTACTTTTGGACATTTGGCAGGGGGATATGATGGCCAATATTATGGATATCTTTGGAGTGAAGTATTTTCCATGGACATGTTTTACAGCTGTTTTAAAAAGGAAGGGATAATGAATCCAGAGGTATTGTATTTTTTTTCTCACCTTTTGTTAATTTTGTAGTTCTTCCCTACCCTTTAACTCCTATTCATTACACCTAGATTTAGAGTAAGAGATTTGGTAACAGCTTTTAACTTTAAAGTCTTGCATCTTCTTAAATCATTACACATCAAGTTACAGTGTACAAGTGATTAATTCTACAAGTTAAAAAAAAACCTACTGCATTTTCTTGCTTATTAACATTCCAATATATTGCATAATTCAAATTCAAAGCTTTGTTTATGCATTTGAGCATTTAGAGCTGCTAGTTTTGACATGTGCCATACAATGTTTTAGTTTTATAGGATATTGAGAAAGCAAGCTAAGCTCCTTCCTGATATAAATTGTTTGTGTTTTGATTATCTCTACACGCTTTCCTTATACATTTTCTGTGGGAGGCACCCTTTTTCTGTGGCTGGCATACCCCACCTACTGCATAGTTTGTAACCTAAATGCCTTTAAGTAATTTAAGCTGCTTCATTAACCTGAGCCATTCCTTTCCGTGTACAGCGAACTGACTGCCAGGTGGCTGCCAGCCAAATCTTCCTGAGTTACAGTCCCCCAGTCTCTACTCTTGTTGAAGACTCAGCTGTCAGATTGTTTCTAGGGCTGATACATTTTGCAGTGTGTTTTTCATTCTGTTTGACTCAGAAATTAGAAGAACAAATTATCAAAATCAGACTCTCTGTGCTTATTTCAACCAACTGATTTGTTTCTCCAACTTTATGTTTTTGGATTGCATAGTGCCTTATACATAAATATTGAAATACATTGATGTAATTTAAACTACCATCCCTCCCCCCAACCACAAAAAAATCAAAACAAAACAAAACACCTCCAGGATACCCACATTCTATCATTCCATCTTCCATCTCACTCTACCCAGGCTATTAGGTCCCTTTAAGCCTCCTTCCATTCTCTGGCCAAGTCATTTATAATGGTCAACCACTGTTCTTATGATATCCTGACTTCTGCATGACCTTCAGCCAGTGTCCAGCCCTGGATTCCTCCACCATGTAATGTAGAGATGGTGCCCTTGGGATTCAGAGTGTTCTGTGGGCAATGATATGACTCCGTTAACATGCCCAACTACAAAGTCATGCTGTCCAACCTGAACTGGACACCCAGTGCTACTCTGCAGTCATGCTCCACTTCCCTTGTTAGTTCCCCCCAGTCATCACCACTTCTCTCTTCTCTGAACAGATGATCTCTCCTCTCTACTAGGAAAATTAAGATCATCGAGAGCAAGTACTTTTGTCTTTCTTATCCTTTCTATACATCAAGGCTTATCTTCTTTCCTCCTGTCTCAGAAGAGATGTCTCTAATACCAGGCCTTCCTGGATTGCCATCATGGGAAAATATGGGTTATTGCCATTGACTCCAGTAACCTCAGTGCCACTACTCAGGTGTTCTTCCTTTCACAGCCTGATTTCTTAGTGTAACAAACAGTCTTCGCAAACCTCTCTTTCCTGGCTTTTGCCTCCATTGTCTGAACTGGAAAGTTTTCCTCGCTCCAAAATTACCATTGATGACCCAATTGCCAACTTCCAAAGGCCCTTGTCTACCTTTTTTTTTTTTTTTACTTTTCGCTTCTTGTTATTCCCGTCTTTGCTCACAGCCCTGAGGTTAGCAATAAGATTCCTTCCTTTCCTCCCAGCACTCCCTGCAAGCCAGCCAAATTTCTGTGTTCTGGCAGGTCTTTCCACCTTCACAAATTTATTTATTCTATTTCCTCCACCTAAAATGTATACCTTCGTGGTCTATGCCTCTCAAAAATCCTACAGTGCTTAAAAGCTCTACTCAAATGGCCACTTATTTATGAAATCTTCCAAATCATCCAAACCAAAAGTGATCTTTCCATCCTGTGAACAGAAGAGTGGACTCTGACTTGGAGGAAAGGCTTCAATAAGCTTTTCTTATGTCTGAAATGTTTAATATAGCTATTATACAAAGTGAAAAAAAATGAGATTATAAAATTTTTTATATCATAGGAAGCAAATTTTTATTCTAAAACATATGTTTATGAAAAAAGTATATCAAAATGTCAATTGTTATCTTCGGGTAGTAAATATATGAGTGATTAAATATTTTCGTGTACTTTTTTGGAGCTTTTTCTTATTTTTACATAGAATACGGATTATTATAGAAATTAGAGAACAACGTTTAAAGAAGCACAAGGTCTAGATATATAAAGGCACAACTCTGACCTCTTCCTGGCTCTTATGAGTTGGGAAAGCTTCTTGGCATAAGTGCTACAATACCTCTTTCGATTAAGCTTCCTTATTCATCTCCTCTTCCAGCTGTCAAGGTAACAGCCAAAGCACAAAACACTGATCCCAGTGGATCTCAAGGAACTTGCAAGTCCAGCAGAAGCAATCTTGCCTTTATGTTTCTATGTACTTCCTCCTATTCTCAAGCTTCACAGCTTGGGAGGTAGCCAGGTTACTCTTAATTTAAACAAAGGGGTTGGGTCGAACTTGGAGAAAGCAAGACTACCAACAACTTGGACTTGTTTACTTGTAATGTTAAAAACACTTCAGTTTTGTCTACAGCCGGGCCACCCTGAACACGCCCAATCCCTTCTGATCTCAGAAGCTAAGCAGAGTTGGGCCTGGTTAGTACTTGGATAGGAGACCACCTAGGAAGACCGGGGGCTGTAGGTGTTAAAAAACAAAACAAAAGAACACTTCAGTTTTGCTAAAATTCTAGATCCAATAGTGCTATATATTATTACATGTCTTATGCCATGAAGCTGGCTTTAATCCATTCTTTTTTCTTTTCTATCAAATACTGTGGGATATCATGTCATTTATTGCTCCCCTGCTGGCACAACAATAATGAGTGTGGCTCCAGTGGCCAAGGAAATTTCCTTTGCACTCCACCCTCACACTCTTTTATGGCAGATACCAGAACAACTTTTGAAACAGCCACTTTATTCCCTCCTATGGTGTATGTTTTTTGTTTGTTTGTTTATATATGTTTTCACTATAATAATACCTGATTTATAAAATTCAAAAATCCACTTACTAAAAATCAATACTTTGGAATAACAATCTTACTCTACAAAAAACAAGTCATTATCACAACTATGTTTGATGAAGAGAAAGAATTTTTATGGTATAAAGTTTTATGGCATAAAGAAAAAGAATTTTTATGTTGTGATGAAGAGAAAGAATTTTTATGGCTTCAGATCAAATACTGATCTGAAGTTAAGGGAATCATAGCAATTATAATATATCATGCAGACTTTACTGTTTCAAGGCCCTCACCCTCCCTAGTCTATAATTTGGATCATTTTGCAAGGATAGCGGGATGGCCTTTGGTGGTGCCTCCTATTCTTAGTCCCCAAGCTCTGGAGAGGCTAGGGGCTGAAATTGTATTGTTGACATTATTGGTCTTCGTCATTGGCATCAATGAAAGAACCTCTCCAGACCTTCTCTCAGTGACCTCTTGCCATCTTGCAAAGCCCAGAGTCTGCTCTGAGAACCATTATTGTTCTTAGCAAGCAGAACTGTAGAAAGTGCTCTACTCTCTGGGAAAACAATAATAGGAAGGATCAAATATAAATCTGTAGTCTTCTGAGTAGCGGATGGTAGCAGTGGAATATTTTATGGTACCATTTTTTCCATTCTGTTTTGAGGGCTTCTATCAACATGTTAGAACTGGCCACTTTCCTAAAAGTTTGCTACCTCTGGTTTTATCTGTAATTTTTAAAATTCTTCATGGTAAGTAGATATAACACCTTAAATGTTTAATTCGTTTATTAAATATTATCTAAAGTCTTGGTTTTTAGTGGAATATGGAAAAGTCTCATTATCAGACGTATCTTTTACTTCTCCAACTGATCTCTTATAAATAACTGCGGAAAGGAACTGCTTGGGATAAATACTTTCCAGCAAGCTCTAAGACTTCTTTAAGGATATCTTTAACATCACCAAATCCAGTTTCAAAATCCAGCAGCTAATCATAGGGTTGAAAAACTGGGGGCATTTAACTTGGGCCATTTCTTTTTATAAGGCAACTCCATTGTGGGAAAATTTCCTACGAGGCAATAGACATTGTGGATTAAAAGGCAATTATATTGTTAAGCTAGCGCTCTCTTCCTTCTCTTGCAAAAGCTTAGTTTTTTCAATCAATGAAGATGAAATACAACCTAGTAAGTATCACTGCTGAAGGGAATACTGAGAAAGTCAAGATAAAGCATGTAAATATTCTATTTTAATGTATAGTACCATAGGGAATCTTACATGCTAGATCTCACATGCAATAACAGACACAGAAATATGAAGAATCTTGGTTAAATATGAAAAAAAATTAGCTGGCAGAGAATGTGTAGTCTAAAGCTGAGTATTCCAGTGCTTTCAGACTCCTAGGCCCAATTCTTGCTCTAATGTGTTGCTATAATGTGTTGCTAAGGGAGAATATGAAATTTCCTCTCCTGACCAGCTTTACAAATGGATTAACTTCTGCTCCAGCTCCCTTGATCTCCTACCCCAAAGCTGATTTTTCTTACACTTCAACCTTTTCTAACAGACTTAGATTTTGCCTGATTTAAAGGACAAAGGAAGGAAATAAAAGTGACTTCCAGCCTACTTCTTGAATATTTACAAGGCCAGCCCTTCTGAGCCTTGAATCCCAACCAGCTGAAAGCAGTTTTTCTTCCTTTGTGTTCTTATATCCCTTCTTTGTGTTTCTCTTAGAGTCCTAATAATCTGCCTTGTTAACTGTCTATTTTCTTATCTCACCTCTTAGATCATAAGGCCCTTGTAATAGGAACTATTTTATTCATCTTCGTGTTTGTCCTCTGCTTCAGAACTGAAGCAGAGGACAAACATTTAATCATTACTGTTACAAATGAGCACCTCTTTGGACTTAACCAGTAGTTTCTCCCATCTTTTCCATTTCTCTGCCCCCCAGTGTGTACTACTACTCAGGGTACCTTTTTTCTCCTTATCTCTTCCCTCCACTTAAGTAAAGATTTATCTCTCTGTCCTAACAAATTGAAGCTTTGTTTAAGGTTTCCAGAGGGCCTCTTCTAATTAAGTAAAGATTCCTACCACTGTTCTTGTTTTCATCTCCCTGACTACCAGCACCCCTCTTTCACTCTCTTTCTCCTTCTTTGTTGTTGTCAAAGGTATTCTGTATCCACCTACGATTTCCCCACCCTCATAGAAAACAAAGGGTGTGTTGTTGGAAAGGAGTTTACAGATGGGCTGTGGAAGGAAAGGTTTCAAAGTCCACTTTGAATGCAGGCTGATGAACCTGCTGGGTGCCTGATCATCATCCCCTGTCCCTGAGTGGATGCTCTCTCCCCTGATGCCTGTTACTCAGTATAGGAAAGAGATAGCTCTGGCTCCATTCTCCAGAGTCAATCACAATGAGAAGGAGGGAGAGGGGATTGGAAGGCAATGGGAGTTTGCCTGTGCTGCTTCAGAGATGCCAGAGATAGTGGGAGACCCAGTCTGTTTCCCATTTATATGTTATTGTTACTGATAGGTGATGGACATCCTTCATTCAGATAGTTATGATCGGCCTTAAAATATCACCTCAAATAAAGGGTACACATCTTAGATAAAATGAACATCTTCTCATTTTATCTAAGTCTCTTCTGCTTAATATTCCTACTGAATTATACGTTCTATTTCATACTTATAGTGGAGAGGAAGTCTCTTGTGCTTCTTTTTAGCTTTATTAGGAGACAGGACTAATTTTAAAGAAATACCAGACCAGGAATCCATTTGTTTACCTGAACTGTGTAGGAGAAACTGAACTTAGGTGCAGTGGGAGAGAAAAGAAAATGAAAGGAGGGATAGATGACTACTAAGATTTATTGAATACCACTATATGTATGCCAGGTGTTATAGTAGGGAGTGGGCAATGTGCTGAAATCATCCATAAACTGAGTGAGTTAGGCATATTCCCATTCTACAGGTAAGGAGCCAAGGCCCAAGGTCAAATAATAAGGATGAAGCCAAGATGCAAACCTGGGCTTGACTCTAATAATAAACTCCTGATTTTACTTTAGAGAAGACTTACACCGTTGCTAAAAGATACACTCTAATTTTCCATGCTGGAAAACCAGAGAGGTGCCTATTGGTGATTTTCCTTCATAGAATTGGTAACAGGAGCTTCCTACTCTCAGATCCTCCTGATGAATTTTTTTAGCATGAAAATTTTAGTAATTGTCTTAGAGCTTCTATTCCTGCTTTCCTCACAGTTAAAGTTTCTTTACTACATAAACAAAGTAGAACAACTTATGGCAAAGACTCTTTTCACCTGTGGTGTATGTCTCCCAGGCCATGTTCTCTCACCCACAGAGCCTGGTACCTTCCTAGAACACAAAAATTCACTTAACTTTTTTTTTTTTTTTTTTTTAAAGAAACACAAGATCCTGTTACCAAAATGACTCTTAAACTCTTCTCAAAACTTCATTGCAAAGGAAATGAAACTATTAAAAGACCATTGCTCTTTAATTCAGGAAATTGAATCAACTTGTTTGGAGCTCTGAGCAGGGCAGGACTAGAGCTGTACAGAGCCACATATTGTCAGACTAAACAGTGCCCTGCCCTGCAATGACTTTACCGTTCAGAGGAGACCTGAACTGGCTCTTCATAACACCGTGCAGCCAGCTCCTCATGGGCTTGCTTTTCTTTACTACCTCAAAGTACAGTTCTCTGGACCAGATGAGATTAGTTTGTCAAATGTCAGCATTTGGGGTGATTTATTTTTTATTTTATTTAGATTTTCATGAATGTTCCTATATTTGTGTAATGAAATTCTTTTTAATAAATAAAAAATTCTCAGATTGTGAGCATTAAGAATTTCTGCAGATACATATAATTATTGAGTTTGGATGAATGGTTCATGAGGGTTCATTATACTATTTTCTCTGCTATTAGTATATATTTAAATGTTCTCCATAATAAAAGGATTAAAATATTTTTATGACTCTGTAAATAAATTTAACTCACATTTTCTAAGTTCTTTCTACGCTGCTATACCCAGAGAGTACAGTCTTTCCTTGAGCACTCGAAATGTGGCTAGTGTAACTGAAGAGTTGAGATGTGCTGTAAATGTAAAAAACACACTAGATTTTGAGGCTTGCAACAAAAAATAAATCCCAAAAGTTGTTTATATTGATACATGTGGAAATAATATTATAGATATACTGGCTTAAATAAAATATTTAAATGAATTTCACCTTTTTTTCTACTTTTTAAAATGCGATTATAAGAAAATTTAAAGTGATATATGTGGCTCACATTATATTACTATTGGTCAGTGTTGTCCTGGAGTTTATGGGAAGGTAGCTTGATTTATTCCTGATTAGGGCCCAGACTGTAAAGCTGGATGTTAGACTGTAGATGATTAATAAGTTGTGGATAATTTCTGTTTATAATCAAAAGACAACCCCAAAAATTTTGATTTTATGACCCTGTAAGACATTAAATAGTTTTTATGTAACTTGGTAGGTAGATTTCATTCATCCACATTTTATTTTCCTTAACAGTTTGACTAGACTTACCTCTGATAGTTGTACCAAGCAGAATCATTATTATGAGTCAAAAGTTAGATTACTTTTCTCTCTGGAAATTCTCTAGCTTTCTTGTACACAAAAAGACTCTTTAGTCATATTAATTAAATGATATAATGGATATAAATTTAAGAGTATTTCTCTGTGACCTACTCATTTTATGTGAATATTTAGAATTATGCTTCATTGAATTGTCTTGCCTTGCTACCCTAAAAGAATGGTGAAAAAGAAGTAAAAATATTTAACGACGTTGATACCAAATTACAATTCTTTTTTTTCCCCACTTTATCTGCTCATGTGTTTATGTAAATAAAGGCAGAAGAACTATGATATGTTTTAAAATTACAGATCTGGTCCACAAAGAACACTTTACAAAGGTCCTCATTCCCAGCACTGGATCCACAGAAATATCTTATCCTACACCATGAGACATGTGCTATTGTCCTATCCCTGAACCCTCATAAAGAATAGGGGTTTTTTTTGAGCCCCTCATAAAAACAGATCAGAAGCCACTTTGGAAGTAGCCGCATCACTGTTTCCAGGTACACGGAATCCCTGCTTGTAGCCTGCTTGAACACTTGCTTTGCTAACCCTTTTGAAATCGCATTTCAGAAGGGGTAATAAATAGGAAACTGTCATGCATACCATTTGGCTATTTTTTGTCTGTTCACCTTCTCTATTCACTGCTCAGAATCAAAGGAGACAACACAGAAATAAAGGGAAGTGTAGAAGGCGAGGTATAAGTTCCAGATCTTTTAGCTACCAACGTAAATAAATACTGCAGAGCTGCAGTCCCAGCGTAAGCGAACATCCAGACAGAGTAGAGCTAGATTCCCCTTTTCTTCACCCCTATCCCTTTCTCTTTTGCATCTAGAGATCTGGAAAATTGCTATAACTGTGAATTATTAGGCATGATGTTTTATTTTATTAGGTTGGAATGAAATACAGAAACCTAATCCTGAAACCTGGGGGATCTCTGGACGGCATGGACATGCTCCAGAATTTCTTGAAACGTGAGCCAAACCAAAAAGCGTTCCTAATGAGCAGAGGCCTGCATGCTTCGTAAACTGGGCTCTTTGGTAGCTGTCCATGTCTGGAGGACAAATCGACATCGCCGTGTGTCACTGGCCTGGAAACTGAAGGGAGTTTTGCAAATGAAAATTTCGATTTCTATTGACTGCCTTTTGTTTTTTGATTTGAAAAATTATACAGATGTAAATGGAATTATAAATACTGTGACCTAAGCAAAGATCCATTCAAAAATAATTGTACTATAAAATTTCATAAAAATAGATTTGATTTCTTTTTATAAAAGTTTCATATGAATGTAATTTGATTTTTTACTCTTGTAATCTAGATAATGTAATATAAGCGGGCTCAGAATTTTTTAATTGATTCATATACATTATATAATTTGGTCCTTCTTATATCTTATATACTTGGGATTTCTGGACATAAATGAATCACCACATCTCTGGTAAATACTTTCTGGGAACCCTGCACCCACTTTGACATCTTGTCTCACAGTAAAGTGTGACCTCTTTGCCTGCATACCTCAGGGCCAGGGGAATATGCCTCAGTAATGCATTTATCTTTGTGTTCCAGGCCCATGATTCTCAACTTCGTGCCACACTTAAATTATGCTTGTCTATTTGGGTTTGTTTTTTCTGTCTAAAGTCCAGTCAGAGAATCTCAAACGGTTATAAGTTTTGACTGAACTAGCCTGATGACTTTTGCAAGTTTTTGTATCTTGTATTAGAGAATTTTGGATCTTGTATTGAGGTTCCTTTCCACTCCAGCATACAAGATTGTCAGTCTTTTGGCACATTTGTCAATTGGAACACTGAAGCAAATCCTAAGGAAATGTTTTTCTTCTCATGTTTCTAATAAGTGCTGGAGGCTTTGCCTCCTTTACTGCCCACCTCATCCAAAGCAGTGGGTTCACGTCACAAATGGCTATTTAGAGAGCTGAGGCTGATGCAGAGCATAAGAGTTCAGAAACTCCAGAAGAAGAGTGGGTGCTGTACAGAAGCATTTTAGGACAGCTGCTCCCAAGTGCTATGTGTGTGCTTCAACTTGGCCATGAGGAGATGGCTTTTCAGTAGTCTGTTTTGTCTGGTAATTTTTATTTTAAGTGACCCATTGGGTCTCTCTTAACTAAATATGGGCCTAAATTCCAATTCTGCAGCAGACCAGTATACTCGCAGTACTTATTTTTCCTCTAAGAATCTATTCAATAAGAAAACCACCACAGGGTAATAAAACTTTTTTTTAATGAAAAAAACAAACTTTGAATGTACTCTGCATAATCCTTTCAGTTGTTTCCCACTGAGTACCTGAGGTATGACTTTGCTGGCCAGGAACAAAATTCTAGTTCTCTAGTCCAAATGGACTTTGTGCTAAATAAAAAAATACTATGTTGCATAATAAAATTATAGATAGGAAAAATCAAGAGCTCTAGTGATACAGAAGAAAATTCCAAGATTATTATTGTCAAACAGATACCCTGAACATCCACAAGAAATCCTACTCTCCCTTCTGAGACAATTGCCTGGCCCTTCTCTCCCCTACACTCACTCAACTTCACCGCCTCTGGTCCCCAAAGCTGTTTTGGTCTTAGCAACCTGTGGTACTTTTCTCATATCTTTTTTTTTCCAGACTATTCTGTTTTTCAGACAAAAACTCTCTTCAGCTTTTTCTGTTGCCCAGTGTGTCTCCTGAACAATAACTTGATCTTTTTAAATCTTAACTTATTTCACCTGGAAAAACTAATACTTGCTGTGAAAAAAGGCTGCACACAATAAAATTGCATTATTATCCATGAAAATGTACTCATATTTCTTTTGTACATTAATGTTAAAACTGAAATACATAAGAGGGCAAAAGCTCTGTGATATTCTTTTTATTTAGGGTCCACATCAAATATTTAAAATATACTAAAGAAGAGCAACAAAATCAAATACCCAAAAATATTCTCTAGCTTAATTAAAAACTGTGGACTTATTTTTAAAGCCTTTCTAAATGTGGCCATCCATCTGCTTGTTCTTTTTTTTCCAGATCAGAGCATAGAGTGTCAGTGAGGCACTCTGAATGGTGGATAACTCTAAAAATTGTAATTGGACAACCTACACTTTAGACTTAGACTTATGGACTGAGCTGCACATAATAAAATTTCTCTTGGTTTTTGATCCAGGAGATTTAGGCCTGTTTCTGGTTTGGGGGAATTATTATGTTACTAGGGCAAGTTCTTAAACATTTTATGTTAATGTATAGTAGGCCTGATTCCTACAAGTTTAGTTTTAAGATGCTACAGTGGATAGAAAGAAAAGTTCAGATGTTATGCCACCTAATATAGATTTTTTTTCTCTAATACAAACATTGCCTGTTACCTCAATAACTAAAAACTATCTTGAAGAGTTGTCACCTAGGCTGTTCACACCAGAATCTTTCCTTCCTAATATGATGAAAGGTGGATATCTTTAGCTCTTAAGACTTGACAAACTGCATTGTGTAAGAGGCCAAAATAGAGAAAATCGTTCCTTAAAAAATTGTTATGATCTTATACTTTGTACTTGCCTTAACTAGTATGGAATGACAACTTTCCACTGTTCTGCCTTTAACCTTTGTGTCTGAATTAAGGTATATAGCAATCCTTCCTCTTCAGTGGATCAACTGCATAGTTTATGATGATTTTTCATTTTTTTTATTTTTGTCATGCATAAGATTTTTCATGCTCTAAGGAAATGGCATTAAAATATTAACACACATATTGGGTTTGGCATAGTTAACTTTGCCCCAAATAGTGTTAAAAAGAGAAATCCTATTTTGTCTGGCTAGATGCAGTGACCAAGGCTTCTTTCCCCGCAACACAATGTTAATACAGTTGTGCATCTCCCATCTGAAACTGGATAGCCCCTCAAAATTAATATGCCTTCTTTTATGAATATTTGGTGAAAATAAAAGCAAAAAAGACATACATGTTTCCATTTTCCTTGAAACAGTCAACATCCAAAGTTTATTTTCTCAGTCATCTTTAATGGAGAAATTTCCACAGGAAGTAGTGATTATCTAGTACCAACTATATCAAAGCAAAGGATAAAGGTTATGAAATCTAAATACTAGATCGATGTAGTCTTCTCCAACATACTCACAATAGCAATATAAATGCTTTGTAAATTTTTTTTTGAAAAATTGGGATAATGAACATAACTTCTCACAAACCCTTCTCCAGTGAGTTTCTCATTCTTGAGTTTCTATTTCATTGAATTTATGTCATAGTTTCCTTTCCTGATAAAATACAGGTCCGATGCAGCTGGTCCTATATGTATGAACAAGAAAAAGGAAAACGTGAATATGATACAGTCTCTCTTGTTTCTGCTCACATTAGCTGACATCCATTTAGGTGCTTATTTCATAGCACCTGGAGGATCACCTAAAAATTTACTACCTTGATAAAATATCTCTAGCATTTGTCATCAGAGAAACCTTAGATTGGTTTAAAGGAACGATGTTTGCTGAATCCAAAAAAATATTCAACACCTCTATTGTCATTTTTGTGGCCAAGATGAGGATATGACTGGATAATTGTTGGCCAGATGGACTCCTACTTATTGAAACAACCTAAGACAGTTGAATAATGGTTCATATAAAACTGAGAGAAATTTCCAGTCCTTTGAAGACACAAGAAATTCCGTTCAAGGAATTGTCAAATATACAGATAACA